ATTTTACTGTATTTCCTTTCTCATCTTTTTAAATACAGTAAAATCTCATTACAACAAACTCCCAGGGACTTGGTAGAAGATTTGTTATAAACAAATTGTTGTATAGAGATTCTCGATTTCTAGCACACTTTAGACTGAAATTTAGTAGGAAAAGGGCAACAAATGCTTTCAAGTGCTTACAAAACAAATTTATTCATGATATGAATTCAATAATTATATATCATGAATAATGAGTCTTCCTGATGAAATGAGAAGAAAACTTGAAAAAAGAGTACTTTGCTTCTACTGACCCTGCCATACAACTAAAAGTGACATTTGTTTCAGAATATACAATGAGCATAAGCATATGTAAGACTGAGGAATGCTTCCTTCAAATAAACTTCTCCATTCCTGCATGTTCTTGCAGATGGAGAAAAATTCTTTCAAACATACAGTATACTGGGAAGAAAGGCATATCATCCAGAATGGAGCTACTGAATTTCCAAGAAATACATCATGCTTAGTATTTTCTGAACAAGAAGATTTCTTGGCAGAAATGTTTCCTTTTTGATGAACTTGGATTGGTGCACCTTTTATATACAGTGTTTTTCCATGCATATCAAACAAAACCTATTGTCTTTACACAGAATGATGAACAAAAATTCATGATAGTGAGATTACAAACTAAAATTAGTTCATTTTAACAATATTTTTATAAAATTACGCCTATGGAAAACTGCCCAGACCAATACAAAATTTATTATAATGAAAATTTTGTTATAACGAGATTTGTTGTAAAAGAATTCTACTGTATATTGTATCCTATTTTTCTTTAGGACTCTTACCAAGGAGCCCACTGCCAAGTTCCCTGGCGGACCCAGTGTTGTATTCTGATCAATTTCTTCAACTAAAATTTAAACCCACCTTTTTATTTGTTGTGGCTTGTGCGCCACAAGTGGAATGCTCTTTTTGCAACAAACATTGCTATCATGACTCAAATGACATTCTCAGCAAAAAAAAATGAAAATGGTGCAGTCTGTAAGTGTGTATGATGAGTATCTCATTACAGTGAGATACCCACATTCAGACACATTGGCATGTAGACGATTTGATGTACGGACACCTATTTTCCCATAAAATTGATAAAGAAGGCGCAACATGAGGGATCTGACTCAACATAGGGACATTTTGCAACAAAATTGCAAATAAGTTTCAATTAAAAGAAACAGATATTCACAACCTTAAAATTTATGTAAGAAAATTTCTCTGGCATTTCTCTCACCAATTTACAATCCATTTAGCTAATTTAAAAATTACCTCCAACATAGAAGGACTTCCTTCTCTCTTTTTCACTTGAATGTTGTTTTTACAGATAATGCCAACGTTTTTATGTACTGTACAGAGGTATCAGCATTCAATTCCCCAAATTTCCATATTGTGTTGAAATATATTGATTGGATCAGTTTAAATTCGGAGACAGTTTTCATTTTTGTGGAATTATGGTGAGTATTTTGTTCATAAAACACCAATTGAAAATTATATAATGTAAATCTGCCGTAAAAATGAGACTCAACTAAGGGATATTTTGAATTGGGGGCACTCCTAAGGCACCAATTAGGTCCACATCTCAGGGTCTCACTGCACAGTATTTTATTGCTTACCGCTGGAGTCGGTGTTGGCGACCCAAAAAGGAAAAACCGCTTGTACTGCTCAAACGTCAGGAACTGCGTAAAATAAATAAAAAAGAAGCATGTTTTCACAGAATCCTCATACATACGATTTTCAAAAGAAAACACTAATGCCAGGAATGCAAACACTGTACTGTACATGGTACAGTACATAATTGGGAGACAAATCATGACTCACTTTGATGGCCCTTTTCGGCGTCTCGACAATAATCGGCGGCAACAGGCCCTTCCAGTAAGACAAAAAGCCCTCGGCTCGGTATATTTTCCGAAAACAATCAATGACCCCGGAATAGTTGTGGAGGTCATTTGGCCCGGCCTTGAATGACCCGGTTTGGAGCTGGAACCTGGTTTTCACCACGTCCAAGGGATGCATGCAGCACACTTCTGCGCATCCTGGGATTCGGCAATTGGCAGGCATCATTCGCACAAAACGTCCCAAGAAAGAGACGACATACAGTATATAGATAATTGTCAGAGCTTGACCGCGATTTTCGCGCCTTTCATACACGACAGTATATCCGAATTTCGCATGGTTGAAAATGACCCAGGATGATTTTCATGAGTTCAATTTTCAAAAGGAATTTCGGGAAGGATTTGTCACTAATCCATACTAAATTCAGTTACCGATTTCATGATTTTTCTTCTCTTTCAGTCTCATCATACAAGGCTTATGAAATTGCTACTGATGAGTGTTGACTACGGTACTTCACTACTGTTGAAAGTTTCTTATTTCCATTTCACACACAAGTGAGGATAATTCTTCAGAATCAAACAATAGAACAGTGAGACCCTGAGATGATGATATAATTGGTGCATCAAGAGTGTCCTTAAGTTGAGTCTCATTTTAAATTACACTTACATTACTGTATATACTTGTTAATTGGTGTTTTATGGACAAAATACTCATCATAATTCCATGAAAATAAAAATTTTGTTCCTAATTTAAACTGATTTAATCCAGTATATCATTTGCATCTTCTATTTTTTGGTCTCACTGATGTAAATAAGAATGATGTCGGAAACAAACCTGCTGATCCTCCGGCAATGATCTGCATCCCGCCATGCTTGAAGGCGAGGTAAGACGAGGACACACTGCTGTCGTTTTTTGTCATATTCAATGACGAGTTGAATCACTCAGTCTGTGTGAAAACAAATCAACGCATAAAACTTTATTAAATTACGGAATTCGGCCATGAGAACTTGAAGCAGAGCGAATGTTAACCTTCAGTAAACTTGAAGGCCATCAATATATTATAAACCAAAAGTTGTTGCCAGCATAGAAATTGTAACAAAAACCTCTCGTGGACGACCGAGACTTGAAAAACTTGAATTTTAGAAATTAGGTATAATAAACCTTTGGAAATCAGCAATAACGATACTGGTATCGAATGCAGCACGAAAAAATCAATTGATACCGAAAAACTTCGATTGCCGTCGAATTTTTGGAACGGTGCGGATGCGAACTTCGCGCATGAAACATGAAAGCTCCATCTCCCTATTTGTGATTCCCCCATCAAAAAAACTAGCGACAAAATGAAGGGTGGCTCATTTCACGCAGCATGTTTGAGTACCGATGAATTAGTTTCATCGTCGGCTTCTAAATCCAGAGAAAAATTATTGAATCAAATCGACAGTAGGACAAATTCCATGATGAACTCTTTACACAGAAGATGGTGAGCACCGATAATCTGTATAGTCAAACTGCATCATATAACAGAAATCCAACGAGGTTCAGTGGCCTAGAACTATACATAAACGTGAGGCTCGTCCATTTTCGCACACATTTGCCAAAAATACGAAGCCATTATGAGCACGGAACAATAATTTGTGAAAACTGCGGCCGTCCATACACTGAAATACTGCACTCGAAATCGACACTTCATGCATGAACTAAGGTACCTTCTCAGGTTCTAACCCATTCCAGTTTGTAACTACTGCACAGTAATCAAGTAGATTATCAAAACAATCAAGAAGCCAGCATAACTCTCAGAATGTCTCATCCAACAATGGTAATCCGTCCTCTCTAACAGCACACGAAAACCCAACTATCCAAGAACGCGCATGCATGATGCTGTGGGATGAGTTGAAACGCCGATTTTAATTCCATTTTTCACACCCCTTAGTGAAAGGTAGTCCTGCAAGATCAAAGATAACACTCAAATTGAGATGGACCAGATCACTGATGAAAATAGTCATAGTGAACTCGCAGGGTCAACTTTATCCTGAATTTTGAAGGAATCACTGCAACCAGAGTTTCGTCTGGTGATGACGCGACAACTGCTGAGGGCGCGAACTGTTGGCCTTGGCTTCCCCTGTATACACACACCCCTGGAAATCCAGGGTTACCATTTCCACAAGAAAGAAAAAACGAGCGAATTTCTGCATGGTGGTTCTTATATGCGTTCATGGGCATTCTTACTTCTACGGACAGTCTGCATTTTGTTTGCTAACGTCATGCAATCTTTTTGTTTTTCTAAAACCAACACATTTATTTATTAATGTATTTGAGAAATGGTGAAGAACATCAACTCCATGGTACAGTGAGACCCCCCACATGTAGACACCTTGATATGTGGACAATTTGACATAGGGACACTTATTTTACCTTTAAAAATTAATAAAAAAGGCCCAACATGAGGACACTGACTCAACATAGGGACATTTTGTTATAAAATTGCAAATACATTTAAGGTCAAATTACAAGAAACAGATATTTCCAACCCTAAATACATTAGCTTAAAAGGGTCACGCGTAAAGTGAAGGGTGTTGTGGTCGTAAATATGACTACAATATTTTAACTTACAAACTGATCCACATCTTGGAAAGAACCTGCTGGGAAGTGTTGTAAGCCAATAACTAGTCAGTTTTGTTGGCTATGAGAGTGAAGAAAAATAAAAACATGTTTCCCACAATAATGAGGCTTTTTATCTGAATCACTTGAGAAATGGACTGTTATTTTTACAAGGTAACGTTTTTTTTTCAGGGGAACATAAATCCCCATTTCAGCCTGCAGAGAGTCTGGTACTGTACTTTTGTTTACTGATGAGAATGGTATTCCTATTTTACTGCTAAGACCTGTTAGAGCAGAGCATTTGATTGGTCCTGAGGAAAGAATTGAAGCTAGGTGTATTTATCAAAAGTGTTTACATCTAAAGTTACAACCTTTGGTTGGATTTTTGAACAAGAATGACCCTGGGCATATTGGATGGAAATCTGTGGTGTCACTGATCTTCTATTTAGCTGATATAGTATGCGTCATGGTGACATGATAGTATTTGGGCATATTTCTTCTTGTGGTTTGTTAGCTTTTTGGGGGGATCACAGCATTTGCATTCCTTTTGGGTTAAGTTGGTTGGGTACTCTGCAGGAGTATCCTGCACAAGTGTACATCTTTGTGGTGGTAGGGCTCCTTATTGGGGCATTGATGGCAATGTTGCAAAAGGAAGATCTCCATTTTAGTATCATGTTATTGGTGGGTCTAATGGCCCTTTTAAGCAATACCATGGCTGTGAATTTTCTTTTTGACAACTGTCTTCAAGGGAAGGAAGGAGATATTTTTAGGTATGCCTCTTTAGTTATTGTGATGATTTCTTTTTTATTCAATTCTATTCCTTCTGATGTGTTTTCAGACATTTTTGTCTTCTTGTACTGTATTTCTGCAGATGAGTGCCTTTTATTGGACATCTTGACACACAAGGTGTACAAATTTGATCAAGGTGGTGCAAGAATTTTGGCTACTTGGATGGTGTCCTTATGCCATTTTGAGAATAATGGGTTGGTTATTTTTAAGACTCCTTCTGGGTATTATGTTATTGGGAAGGATGATCTGAAATGGGTGTTTGAGGATGAAATTCTGGGTGTGAATAATGATGGCTTTGTTTTAAGTCACAAATTGCACTGATTCATCTCATTTTTTAGTTTGATGCCAAATTTTGTTGGGTCAGTGACTTTTGATGATTGTTGGTTGTTCTTGTTGGTTGAGATGAGCTTTTTAATTTAGTATGTCTTGATCTTTTGACAATGTTTTGATGAAGCTTTTTTGTTTGAATGAATGAATGAACAGAAAACTTTATNTTGATCTTTTGACAATGTTTTGATGAAGCTTTTTTGTTTGAATGAATGAATGAACAGAAAACTTTATTTGCCGCTTTTCAGCGTTGACAAGGCACAACCAAAACTCCCGCATCCAAACCCCCTCCCCACCCAACTAAACTCCCCCAGGACATTCAATCACTTCATATCATGAAACAAAGCACAAACCAATGACAAAAACAAAAGAGAACACATTTTTTGTATATGTTTCAAATTAACAAAGGCCTTATCAAAGTGAGTTTTATTTACACCAAAATGAGAGGGTCTTTGAAACATGAGTGACTTATTTGAAAAAATGTAAATATGAACAGGTATTTGGTAATTTTTGCTCCATTGTCTTGGTGCACATGAACGTTTTTGTCATTGCAAATGAACTTGAATTACTGTTGTTGATTTCACATTTTCTTTACAGACATGTAAGTCAGTAATATTGGGAGGTTACTTGGATGTTCTCTTTTTGTTTTATCTTGCTGAGGAGCATCCATTTCTAAAGGTATTCAATTTTTTATTGACTGATTTTTTAATGCAACAGGTAATGATTTGTTGTTTATGTTATTTGTGGGTGAACCAGTGATTATATCAAATACCCATGTGATATTGTCTCTTGGGTTGCAATATATTTTTAAAATTTGAGCCATTTTTAATGCAAAGCATTCAAATGGTGAGTCATTTCTTAGGTATTGTCTTTGTATAATAGTACTGTTTGTCCTTCCTATGGTTCTTGTAAAAAAAATTTTCCAAGTTTTTCAATACATTTTATTTAATGTTTTATGTAGCCATGTTGAAAACATTAGCCATAATTTATCCTTTATGTTATATTGGAATAATGTTTCTTTTAAGAATTTACCTGTGTCATCAACTTCTGATAATTTTGACAATTATAGTCCTGATTCAAATGGTTTTGTTCTCCAATTGGCTTTATGTATTGTACAGTATATGTAAAAATAGCAATGGTGTTATAACCATTTGTGCATCTCTTTCTGAAGATTGGTATGTGAGTGGTCTTGCATTTATTGCTCATTATATAAATTTTATAGATGCATATAGTCTATTGGCAATAAAAGACATATTAGCAAGTGTTTAAGGGAATCCTATTTAGTAACACACTATACTTTCAGCAGTTGCTTGGGTAGAAAGTGCCATAATTGAACTTGCCTAACAGACTTCTTGTGTGAAGGACTGATCAGTCCATCATGTTGTGGGCCACTGTACTTTCCCAGAGTTCAAACAAAATTTTGCATCTATAAGAGCTCAATGTGTATGCATCAGCTTCATAGATTCAGAACCCTCTGGTGCAAGGCAGATGTCTGTGCAATAGCTTAAATGGGGACAGTCAAGGCAAAAAAAAGGGAACAACCTGTTACTTGACAGGAAAACCAGACAAAGGTGATGACAGCATTATTTCACCACCACATTGCTAGGCAGACCAATGCACCAAGTATTCCTTACATATTTTGGGACACTACAAATAATATGATGACAAACATCTAAGAGGTATTTGAGCATACTCATAATGGTCCTTTGGTAGTTGGTACTTATTTTTAGTTGTCTTAATTTTAACCCAACAGTTAAAATCATAAAAAAAGAAAACAATGCTTTTTTTGGTTTTATGATTATAAAACAATTTGAAAGAAAATGATGATGTTTACTTGGAAGTACAGTACAAGCAGTTCCTTGCAATTTGACCTTCCCACAATTTTACTGTTGAATTTGCTGGGAGGTTGACTCAATTTGAACTGTGGAGAGACACAAAACATCAAATGCCATGCAGAAAACATGCAATTTGACTGCCTTGCAATTTAACCTAAGTCCAGCAACAGATTGGGTTTACTTGCAAGGGACCACAGGTGCACCGTATGCATGATGAGGTGGTGACACATATTGCAAGAAGAAAATGTTCAACAAAATCTTTTGTACTATGGAACAGTACTTTACTTCAGTACCTTTAGTTGAAAAATGAAATTTAATGATGGAGATTCAAATATTATTGTAAATGTGTTGCAGGGATCTAAAAAGAATCTGTTTTAAACAACAATTTGTTAGAATGAGATTTATTGTAAGAATACG